TATTACTTACCTGAGATAACATATATTTTATGTATGTATTGTTTGACTCCCTCCCTAGAATGTAAGCTCCATGAGGTCATGGATTGTGTATTTTGTTCACTGCTGTATTCCCTGAGCCTGGAACAGTGCCTGACACATAGTACATGCTCAGTAAATATTTGGTGAATGAATGAACAAACGCTAATACATCAAAGAGACAACATCAAAGAACAGATTCACAGGGCAGTTTACATCTTCATTGTTTGGCCTGACACTTCTTGTTTGAGGGTGGATTTTCAAAATTACTGCTAAAGGCAATTGGGAGCCTTGAAAGCTTTTAAAAGGGTAAGAATAAGCGGCAATTATATATTTGTTGTTGTTTTTGGAGGCAGGGTCTTGCTCTATCACCCCGGCTGGAGTGCAGTGGTGTATTGTCAGTTCCCTGCAACCCCCACCTCCCCAGCTCAAGCCATCCTCCAACCTCAGGCCCCCAAGTAGCTGGGACTATAGGCGCGTGCTGACACGCCTAATTTTTTGCATTTTTTGTAGAGACGGGGTCTCACCATATTGTCCAGGCTGGTCTTGAACTCCTAACTTCAAGCGATCTCACCTCGGCCTTCCAAAGTGCTGGGATTACAGGCATGAGCCACCGCCCCTGGCCAATTATGTAAGTATTTTAGAAAGATCCTTTGGCCAGCTGTATGGATAGTAGATGGGGATGGGGACAATAGTGGAAACAAGAAGACTTGTGGGGGCTGTTACAATTATGCTTTTTTTTTTTTTTTTGAAACAGAGTCTTGCTCTTGTCGCCTAGGCTGGGGTGCAATGGCATAATCTCGGCTCACTGTAACCTCCGCCTCCCAGGTTCGAGCAATTCTCCTGCCTCAGCCTCCTGAGTAGCTGGGATTACAGACACCCACCACCATGCCAGCTAATTTTTGTATTTTTAGTAGAGACGGGGTTTTGCCATGTTGCCCAGGCTGGTCTCCAACTCCTGACCTCAGGTGATCTGCCCGCCTCAGCCGCCCAAAGTGCTGGGATTACAGGCACGAGCCACCGTGCCCGGCCAGTGATGCTCTTTTGTTGTTGTTGTTGCAGTCACCTACCAGTCCTTTGAGTCTCTCCCTCTCATTCCTTGCAAATTTAGCTCCTGGCTCACTGTCACTCTCTCAAACACTACTTCTGTCACAGTTCTTGGTGATTTCAATATTCATGTAGATACTTCCAGACCCTTGGCCTTCTCTCCTCCAATGATCTTGTCCACCACACCCCAGCCACCTGCTCCTGTCAAACATTTGACCAGGGCATTCTCCCATTCTCTTATCACCACCTCCTTTCCTTGCAGTTCACTTCCTCTAGTGCCCCGACACTAAGGCTATTTCCACCTCGCTGGGGCCATTCATCCATTGATGAGCCATCAATCCCTATCACCTTTTCTCTTTTCTCTCTGCCACCCCTTTGTGACAACTCTTCCCTCCTTACTTAGCTTAAATTGCATCAAACATTCACCTTGTCCATACACACTTTGCCTTTACTTGTACTCAATTGGTGAAGCCCTAACCCTGGTAAGTCCAATTCTTCTCTTACTCAACAACTTGTACCTCTGGCAGCCGAATGAGGCTGGAGGAAACCAACTAGTCTTGCTTCAAGTTCATGACCATTAACTTAAAGTGGGCCCTTAATGCTGCCCCACAACCCTTCCTTCCTTCCTTCCTTCCTTCCTTCCTTCCTTCCTTCCTTCCTTCCTTCCTTCCCTCCTCCTCTCCTCCCTTCCGTCCCATCCCTCCCATCCCTCCTTTACCTTGTCTTTCTTTCATTTCACTTGACACAGTTTTCACTACTTGCTGCCAGGCTGGAAGTGCAGTGGGTGATCCTTGGCTCACTCAACTTCACGCTCCCGGGTCAAGAGAGTTTGTCCTTGCCTCCTCCCGAGTGAGCGGGATTACAGGCGCTGGCCCCATGGCCGCTGCTAAATTTTTGTATTTTAGTTAGCGATGTGGGGTTTTCGAGCACATGTCGGCCAGAGGTGGTTTTGAAACTCGCTGACCTCAAGTGATCCACCGCCTCAAGCGCATCCCAGTGCCGGGATTGCAGGCATGAGCCCACGCCTTGGGCTGTTTTTGTTTTTTTTTTTTTTTGTAAGAGTTCTCACTCTGCTGTGCCCAGGCTGGATGCAATGGGCATGATCTCGGCTCACTGGCAACCTCACCTCCCGGGTTCAAGTGATTCTCCTGCCTCAGCCTCGCGAGTAGCTGAGATACTGGCGGCCCGCTACCACGCCTGGCTAATTTTTTGTATTTTTAGTATAGACAGGGTTTCACCATGTTGGCCAGGCTGATCTCGAACTCCTGACCTCAGGTGATCCACCTGCCTTGGCCTCCCAAAGTGCTGGGATCACAGGCATGAGCCACTGTGCCGGGTCAACATTTTGTTCTTATGGGACCAGAATAGTTGATGTGGTTTGGATATTTGTTCCCACCTAAATCTCATGGAAATATAATCCCGTGTTGGAGGTGGGGCCTGGTGGGGTGTTTGGGTTATGGGGCAGATCCCTCATGGCTTGGTGCTGTCCTCTCCATAGTGAGTGCTTACAGAGCTGGTTGTTGTAAAGTGTGGCATCTCCTCCCCGCACTCACTCTCTTGCTCACTCTGTGATGTGGGATGTCTGCTCCTGCTTCACCTTCTGCCATGAGTAAAAGCTCCCTGAGGCTTTCCCAAAACCTGAGCAGATACCAGTGCCACACTTCCTATACAGCCTGCAGAACTGGGAGCCAATTAAATCTCTTTTCTTATAAATTACCCAGTCTCAGGTATTCATTTATTTATTTATTTTTTTCTGAGACAGAGTCTTATTCTGTTGCCCAGGCTGGAGTGCAGTGGTGCGATCTTGGCTCATTGCAGCCTCCACCTCCCGGGTTCAAGTGATTCTCCAGCCTCAGCCTCCTGAGTCGCTGGGATTACAGGCGCCTGCCACCATGCCCGGCTAATTTTTATATTTTTAGTAGAGACAGGATTTCGCCATTTTGGCCAGCCTCTTCTCAAACTCCTGACCTCAAGTGATCCGCCCATCTCAGCCTTCCAAAGAGTTGGGATTACAGGCGGGAGCCACTGTGCCTGGCCAGGTATTTCTCCTTTATTTATTTATTTATTTATTTATTTTGAGATGAAGTCTTACTCTGTCACCCAGGCTGGAGTACAGTGACACCATCTTGGCTCACTGCAACCTCCACCTCCTGGGTTCAAGTGATTATTCTGCCTCCACCTTCTGAGTAGCTGGGGACTACAGGTATGTGCCACCATGCCCAGCTAATTTTTTGTATTTTTAGTAGAGACGTGGTTTCACCATGTTGACCAGGCTGGTCTCGAACTCCTAACCTTGTGATCCGCCCGCCTCGGCCTCCCAAAGTGCTGGGATTACAGGCATGTGCCACTGCCCCTGGCCCCGGCCAGGTATTTATAACAATGCAAGAACAGCCTGTATTATTAGTTTGTTTTCACACTGCTGATAAAGACATACCCGAGGCTGGGTGCAGTGGCTCAAGCCTGTAATCCCAGCACTTTGGGAGGCTGAGGCAGTGGATCACCTGAGGTCAGGAGTTCAAGACCAGCCTGGCCAACATGGTGATTCCCTGTCTCTACTAAAAATACAAAATTTGGCCAGGTGTGGTGGCAGATGGCTGTAATCTCAGTTACTAGGGAGGCTGAGGCAGGAGAAGTGCTTAAATCTGGGAGGCGGAGGTTTCAGTGAGTCGAGATCGCACCACTGCACTCCAGCCTGGGTGACAGAGTAAGACCTTGTCTCAAACAAAACAAAACAAAACAAAACAAAAAGACATCTCTGAAACTGGAATGAAAAAGAGGCTTTAATGGATTCACAGTTCCCCATGGGTAGGGAGGCCCCACAGTCATGGCAGAAGGCAAGGAGGAGCAAGTCATGTCTTACATGGATGGCAGCAGGACAAAAAGAGCTTGTGCAGGGGAACTCCTCTTTATGAAACAATCAGATCTTGTGAGACTTCTTCACTACCATGGGAACAACACAGGAAAGACCTGCCCCCATTATTCAGTTACCTCCCACTGGGTCCCTCACATAACATGTATGAATTCAAAATGAGATTTGGGTGGGGACACAGCCAAACAATATCAGGCTTAATATAGGAGCGAACCATGAACTGATTTTTCCCTGGTGGACAAAACAAAGGCATGCCAGTGAAAGCAGAAACTAATATCATTCATGCACTTTTGAAATTCCCCAGAGGTTAATTCAGTATCAAAAATTTAATTTCTCAAATATAACAGCTATTTAGTGAAGTTAATAAACACACTTAGCTTCATACTTGAATGCTGTTACTATTTATTGTCATCAAAACAAAACAAGCTGAAACTAAAAGTTGCTATTTAACAGGAACAGACATTGGTGCAGTTTCCTTCCTGGAGAGGGTATGCACTCAGATCATGAGACCTAAGATCAAACACACACTGGATTGTCAAGAATCAAACAAGGACTACATTTTACCTCTTAATAGAAAAAAAGCTGAAGATAAAGCAGATGTTTCAAAATATTCTTCATGCTAAGCTCATGTAAGCAAACAAAAAACTAAAACTAATTCTTAAACTTTAGGACATTAGATGCAGAAGTGACATGACTATTTAAATTTCTGCACCAACAAAAGTTTGTTCTATCTGTCACTGTACTTATACTACAAGGACATACTTGTTGCTTCTACACTTCCCAAAGTCATCAGTTATCATCAACAATGCAATAGAACTAGATTGGAACAGACGGGCACGGTGGCTCATACCTGTAATCCCAGCACTTTGGAAGGCCGAACTGGGGGGATCACCTGAGGTCAGGAGTTCAAGACTAGCATGGCCAATGTGGTGAAACTCCCTCTCTACTAAAATACAAAAATTAGCCAGGCATGGTGGCGGGCACCATAATCCCAGCTACTCGGGAGGCTGAGGCAGGAGAATCACTTGAACCCAGGAGGTGGAGGTTGCAGTGAACCAACATTGTGCCACTGTACTCCAGGCTGGGCAACAGAGTGATACCCTGTCTCAAAAAAAGAAAAAAAATGAAAAGAAAATTCAATTCGGGATGAACAACAGCTTTTGATTTTAGAACCAGCTCTTACTTTTCTCTCGTGTCATATGTGATGAAGTCCTCACTTGACATTTCCCCCTGCAAACTGCAATGCATGTCCTTGCCATTAGCTTTTTCTGAGACTAAAATTAATTTGTAGAAATTGCAAAAGCAATGAAATTGTACTTCCAATTCTGAACCTCTGATCAGATTCCTGCTTTGACGCAAAACTTACTCCTCTGCAGTGTACCCCACCAGCACAGCAACCCCCTTTCTCTCTATTCTTTGCCCTGAAGGCACTTCTGGGTTGCTTAACATGTGCTCTTTGGCTGCCTAGACAGTCAGGACACCTAAGGCCATCTGGACTTATCCCTCCTCTCCTCCTTCTTTTCTATGGTTAATATCACTTTCCTGCTTGCTTGCTTTCTACTGCTGAATCTCCAGATTGGTGCTGCCATCAGGGCACCAGAATCGACTTCGGCTTCGAGCTCCTGGATGGTAAAGCTGCGTCCCTGGATGATCCTGAAGTATAATGAAATATGTTACTATTACAACAATGCTACTAAGCTTTAAATGGGATTTTCAGGTCATATCTTATATATATTAATATATACTAAAGCCCAGTAATTTAAGACCAAAAATGTGAGGACCCGGTAAATGACAACTTGCCCATTTCCTCTCTCCATCTCCAAAGAAAAGCAACCATTTTATAATTATTATTTTATAAACCTGGTTCAACTTCTTTTTTTTAAGAGACATCATCTCACTGTGTCACCCAGGCTGAAGTGCAAGTGGCACAATTGTGGCTCACTGCAGTCTCGACATTCCAAACTCAAGCGATCCTCCCACCTCAGCTCCCTAGTAGCTGGGATTCCAGGCAGGCACTACCACACTGGGCTAAGTTTTTAAATTTTTAGTAGAGATGGGGTCTCCCTATGTTATCCAGGCTGGTCTCAAACTCCTGACATTAAGTGATCCTCCCGCCTTGGCCTCCGAAATGCTGGGAGACGAGGTTTCGCCATGTAGGCCCAGCTGGTCTCCAACTGCTGACCTCAAGTCATCTGCCTGCCTCAGCCTACCAAAGTGCTGGGCTTATAGGGTTGAGCCACTGTGCCTGGCCTATAGTTATTAAGGACATGAAATTATGCTTTATGAGGTAGTGGTCCTCACCCCCCTTGCCTGCAACATAAGAAAGGAGAGCAAGGGAGCAAAGTAGAAGAAAGGTGGCGCTGGGGAAAGGACAGCAATTCAAGACTGATGGTAAAAATTGCTTAGCAGGAGGGAGGGCCCTCCTGTGGTTTCACCAGTTGATCTGGCTGAGGGATTTTCTCCAGCAACACTTGTAGCTTAGGGGCAGGAGGCTCCCACACCACCCTGTACTACTACAACCCTTTTGACATTGTGCATCATGATCTGATTATGGCTATTTGTCTCTTGCCAATACTGAAACATGAGTTCCACATGCACAAGGACTTATTTGAATCCTTGACCCCAGGGCCTGGCACACAGTCAGTGATTGGTACATGTTTGCTAAATGAATGAGCAAATGGAAGAAATCTAAGAGGGTGGGGTGGGGATGGGTGGATTATCCAGAGTTGGACAGGCAAGGCAAGTAGAACAAAAGAGGGAGGTGCTGATATGAAAACTGCCTTGAGATGGCTGGCAACAGGCTAGACAAAGAGGCAAGGAATGTCAACTCACGCCTGGTGGTTCAGGAGAATTGCTTCTCTTAAGGCCAACTCCTCTAATCTCTATCTTGGCTTCCATTTTCACCTGCCTTTGCAGGAAGCCTACACTATTAGTAGTCTCTTTCTCTTGGGTATTCATCCTTTTAAAGCTTTCCCTTTGGCTTCTAAACATACTTACTTTCTCATATTTAAAATAATGCTTCATTAACACCATTAACCTATGTATCTCCATTTCTTTCACAGCTGTGTTAGTCTGTTTTCACAGTGGTAGAAAGAAATACCCAAGACTGGGTAGTATATAAAGAGAAGAGGTTTAATTGACTCACAGTTTCGAATGACTTGGGAGGCCTCAGAAAATTTACAATTATGGCAGAAGGTGAAGCAGGCATGTCTTACATTTGACAGCAGGCAAGAGGTGAATTGCGAGCATAGGAAAAACTGCCACTTTTAAGACCATCAGATCTGGTGTGACTCACTCACTATCAGGAGGACAGCATGGGGGAAACTGGCCTTCTAATCCAATCACCTCCCACCAACTTCCTCCCTTGACACATAAGGATTATAATTCAAGAGAAGATTTGGGTGGGGACACAGAGCCCAACCATATCAACAGCCATATGAGAAGTCTTCAGAAAGTCCATGGAAAATGTGTATTATCAAGAAACTATGCATGGATTGCAAAATCTTTTTGAGGGCTGGGCGTGGCGACTCACCCCTGTAATCCCAGCACTTTGGGAAGCTGAGACTGGTGGATCACTTGAGGTCAGGAGTTCAATACCAGCCTGGCCAACATGGTGAAACCTCGTCTCTACTGAAAAACAGAAAAATCAGCCAGGCATGATGGTTCACACTTGTGTTCTCAGCTCCTCAGGAGGCTGAGGGAGGAGAATAGCTTGAACTCGGGAGGTGAGGTTGCAGTGAGCTGAGATCGCACCACAGCACTCCAGCCTGGGTGACAGAGTGAGACTCCATCTCAAAAATAAAATCTTTTTGCACCAAAACAAACTGGTACGAACGCGTTATAAAATGTCTCAACAGGATCTAGTTTGAGTCATTAAAAAGGAGAAGTCATCAGTTTGAAAAGAGCTCCAATCAGAGCAAAATGAATTCTGCTAAAATTGAAGGAACAACAAACATCAAATTTAGGGTGAAGTTAGGGTGGAAGAATGGTAAAATCACTGATGCTTTACCAAAAGTTTATGGGGATAATGTACCTAAATAAATCAGCAGTTTTTAAATAGTAAGAAAGGACCAGACAATGCTGAAGATGAAGCCTGCAGCAGCAGGTTATCCACATCAATTTGTGAGGAAAAAAATTCATCTTCTTTGTGTCCTAATTTGGAAGGACCAATGATTAACAGCAGAAAAAACAGCCATCACCATAGACATCACAACTGGTTCAGCTTACAGAATTCTGAATGAATAATTAAAAGTTGAGCAAACTTTCCACTTGATGGGTGCCAAAACCAGATCAGCTGCAAAGAACAGAGCTTTCAATGGAAATTGTAAACAAGTAGGATCTATTGGTTGCTACAAAATTAATTGCAGTTTTTGCCATTGAAAGGAATGTCAAAAACCACAATTACTTTTGCCCCAACCAACAGATCATGAAGCATCTATTGGGAAAGTGTAACAGGACGTAAAACGTGGCTTTCCACGTTGGAGACAAAGTACAATTGAAGCAATGGCTCCGAAGAGGTGGAAGTGGTCCAGTCCAAGCAAAAGTGGTCTGGTCAAGAGCAAAGGTCATGGCAATAGTTTTTTGAGCTGCTTGAGAAATTTTGCTTGTTGACTTTCTGGAGGGCCAAAGAAAAATAACATCTGCTTATTATGAGAGTGTTTTGAGAAAGCCAAAGCTTTAGCAGAAAAATGCCCAGGAAAACTTCACCAGAGAGTCCTTTTCTACCATAGCAAAGCTTCTGCTCCTGCCTCTCATCAAACGGGGGAAATTCTGAGAGAGTTTCAATGGGAAACCAGTAGGCATTCACCCTACAGTCGGGGTTTAGCCCCTTCCAACTTCTTTTGGTTTCCTAATGATAAAACATCTGTAAAGGGTACCATTTTTTTTCCAGTTAATAATGTAAATTCCCAGGAACGCCAGTTCTTTGGGGATGGATAAAATGGCTAGTATCTAATTGCTGTGAGCAAAAGAAAAAAATAAATAAATAAATAGCTAGTATCATTGCTTACAAAAGTGTCTTGACCTTGGTGGATTTTATGGTAAGTTTATATTTTTTATCTTTTATGTCTATTTTCCACAAACTTTTTTTTTTTTTGAGACAGAGTCTGGCTCTGTTGCCCAGGCTGGAGTGCAGTGATGTGATCTCTGCTCACTGCAACCTCTGCCTCCTAGGGTCAAGCGATTCTCCTGCCTGAGCCTCCTGAGTAGTTTGTACTACAGGTGCATACCACAACACACAGCTATTTTTTTTTTCCTATTTTTTAGTAGAGATGGGGTTTCACCATGTTGGCCAGGCTGGTCTTGAACTCCTGACCTCAGGTGGTCCACCTGCCTTGGCCTCCCAAAATGCTGGGATTACAGGCGTGAGTCACTGCACCCATTGTCTGTTCTTTTAAAAGTCCATGGCCGGGCGTGGTGGCTCACACCTGTAATATCAGCACTTTGGGAGGCTGAGGTGGACGAATCACAAGGTCAAGAGATCGAGACCATCCTGGCCAACATGGTGAAACCCTGTCTCTATTAAAAATACAAAAATTAGCTGGGCGTGGTGGCGCATGCTTGAAGTTCCACAGCTACTCGGGAGGCTGAGGCAGGAGAATCACTTGAAACCCTGAGGCGGAGGTTGCAGTGGGCCGAGATTGCGCCACTGCACTCCAGTCTGGTGACAGAAGGAGACTCAGTTTCAAAAAAAAAGAAAAAATCCATCAGGCTGGACACAGTGGCTCATACCTGTAATCTCAGCACTTTGCGAGGCTAAGGTGGGCGGACTGCTTGAGCCCAAGAGTTTGAGATAGCCTGGGCAACATGGGAAAACCCTGTCTTGACAAAAAATACAAAAGTTAGTTGGGCATGGTGGCCTTTGCCTATATTCCCAGCTACTCAGGAGGCTGATGTGGGAGGGTCAACTGAACCCAGAAGGTCAAGGCTGCAGTGAGCTGTGATTGTGCCATGGTACTCCAGTGGTGGTGACAGACGGAAACCTTACCTCAAAAGAAAAAAATATATATCCAGGCTGGGCCCAGTGGCTCATGCCTGTACTCCCAGCCCATTGAGAGGTTTAGGTGTGCACATCACTTGAGGTCAGGAATTGGAGACCAGCCTGGCCAACATGGTGAAACCCTGTCTCTACAAAAAATACAAAAATTAGCCATGTGTGGTGCCAGGTGTCTATAATCCAGCTACTTGGGAGGCAGAAGCAGGAGAATTTCTTCAACTCAGGAGGTGGAGGTTGCAGTGAGCCAAGATGCCACCACTGCACTCCAGCCTGGGTGACAGAGCAAGACTCCGTCTTAAAGAAAAAGAAAAAATCCACCTAGGAACTAATTGCAAGCCATGATTCTTTCTGATAATTACACATTGATATGTTCAGGAGAATGTGAAGGAGGCCTCAGAGTAGAACTAAGCGTCCACAAACTTTTGAAGATCCCTCAGACCTCTCTAAAAAGTTGTGTATATCTTTTCTATTCTCAACCCAATCTGACTTCCCTGGCCCATAATTCTAGGGCATCAGTGATTTGCAAGTCACTGAATGCCATGGCCTTTGTCAGGCATCATAATTGACCATTCAGCGGCATCCAACCCTGCTGGCCACTCCTCTTCCTTGAAACAGTTTTCTCTTGGATTAAGTAACCCAGAGTCTTCTGGTTTTTCTCCTACTCTCTGGCTAGTCCTTCTCTGCCTTTGTAGATACATTTCCTTACCTCTATGTAATGTTAGTTTTTCGAGGTTGGGCCCTAGGTGTCTGCTTCTGTTCCTACTTCACTCTCCCTCTTAAGTGACAGAATCCATGGCCATGACTTCAATGACCACCGAAAAAGAGATGATGAGTTCCAAACATACATCCATTTCCCACCTGCCATTCACCCCTCACTGTAACATGGTTTCTGTCTCTTGTAGGTCATCAGTTTCATTAGTTCACTAATGAAATCACGACTGCCAAATCCAATGAACACTTCTATTTCTTGTCTTCCTTAATCTCTCTGTGGCATGGGACATTGTCAGCCAATTTCCTTCTTGAAATTTTCCCTTCCCTTAGTACTCTTGCCCAGTTGACAATCATTCACTTTCAGTCATTATTGGTGGCTCTTGTACCTGCCTCTTCAGCTATTTGTTTCTAAAACCTGGACAAACATAAAGTGGTGATTTAGAAAGTAAAGGCAAACTGACGCCATGTTAGGAAGGGCTGGCAGAATGAATGAAAATCAGGCAAAAGCTCAAGGATGTTGTCTCACATTTTGTTCTTATGGGACAAGAATAGTGGATGTAGTTTGGATATTTGTCCCCACCCAAATCTCATGGAAATATAATCCCGTGTTGCAGGTGGGGCCTGGTGGGGTGTTTGGGTTATGGGGCAGATCCCTCATGGCTTAGTGCTGTCCTCTCCATAGTGAGTTCTTACAGAGCTGGTTGTTGTAAAGTGTGGCACCTCCTCCCTGCACTCCCTTGCTCACTCTGTGATGTGAGATGCCTGCTCCTGCTTCACCTTCCACCATGAGTAAAAGCTCCCTGAGGCCTCCCAGAAGCTGAGCAATGTGAGATGCCATGCTTGTACAGCCTGCAGAACTGTGAACTAATTAAACTTCTTTTCCTTTTTTTTTTTTTTTTTTGAGATGGAGTCTCGCTCTGTCCCCCAGGCTGGAGTACAGTGGTGCGATCTTGGCTCACTGCAACTTCTGCCTCCTGGGTTCAAGCGATTCTCCTGCCTTGGCCTCCCGAACAGCTTGGATTACAGGAGCGTGCCACTATGCCCGGTTATTTTTTTTTGTATTTTTAGTAGAGACGGGGTTTCACCATATTAGCCAGGCTGGTCTTGAACTCCTGACATCAAGTGGTCATCCCACCTCCGCCTTACAAAGTGCTGGGATGACAGGCATGAGCCACCGTGCCTGGCCAAAACTCTTTTCTTATCAACTACCCAGTCTCAGGTGTTTCTTTTTAGCAATGCAAGAACGGCCTAATACAGGAGTGAACCATGAACTGATCATTCCCTGGTGGACAAAACAAAGGCATGCTAGTGAAGGCAGAAACTAATATCATTCATCTGCTTTCCAAACTCCAAAGAGGTTAATTCAGTATCAAAAAATTAATTTCTCAAAATTCACAGCTATTTACTAAAGTTACTCACTACACTTAGCTTCAGACTTGAATGCTGTTACTATTTATTGACATCAAAACAAAACAAGCTGAGACTAAAAGTTGCTATTTAACAGGAACAGACATTGGTGCAGTTTCCTTCCTGGAGAGGGTATGCACTCAGATCATGAGACCTAAGATCAAACACACACTGGATTGTCAAGAATCAAACAAGGACTACATTTCACCTCTTAATAGAAAAGATGCTCAGATGAAATGAGATGTTTAAAAATATTCTTCATGCCAAGCTTAGATAAGCAAATAAAAAACTAAAACTAATCCTAAAACTTGAGGATATTGGATACGGAAGTAACATGACTATTTAAATGTTTGCATCAATGAAAGTTTGTTCTATCCTTCCCTGTACTTGTACTATAAGGACATGCTTGTTGCTTCTATACTACCCAAAGTCAACAGTTACATTAGCAATTCAGTAGAAATAGATTGGAACAAGACTTCAAAGCAACTCTGCTCCACCCAAATTTAGAAACTCAGTCTCGGATGAACAACAGCTTTTGATTTTAGAACCAGCTCTTACTTTTTTCTCATGTCATATGTGACGAAGTCCTCACTTGACACTCCCCCCTGCAAATTGCAATGCATGTCCTCGCTGTCACCTTTTTTCTGACACTTTAATTTATAGAAATTGCAAAAACAATGAAATTGTACTTCCAATTCTGAACCTCTGATCAGATTCCTGCTTTGAGGCAAAACTTACTCCTTGCTGCACAGTCCTCTACTCTTCTTCTCTTTTTTTTGAGACAGAGTGTCGCTCTGTTGCCCAGGCTGGAGTGCAGTGACAAGATCACGGCTTACTGCAACCTCTGCCTCCTGAGTTCAAGCGATTCTCCTGCCTCAGCCTCCCAAGTACCTGGGACTACAGACACCTGCCACCATGCCTATATTTTCAGTAGAGACGGGGGTTTCACCATATTGGCCAGGCTGGTCTCGAACTCCTGACCTCAGGTGATTCACCCGCCTCAGCCTCCCAAGGTGCTGGGATTACAGGCGTGAACCATCACACCTGGCCTCTCCTCTTCTTTTGTATGGCTAATACCACTTTCCTGCTTTCTTTCTACTGCTGAATCTCCAGACTTGGTTATGTCATCAGGATGCCAGAGTCGACCTTGGCTTCGAGCTCCTGGATGGTAACGCTGCATCCCTGGATGATCCTGAAGTACAATGAAATATGTTACTGTTACAACAATGCTGCTAAGCTTTTACATGGGATTTTCAAGTCATAACTTATATATTAATATATACTAAAGTCCAGTCATTTAAGACCAAATATATGAGGGCATGGTAAATGATAACCTGCTTACTTCCTCTCTCCATCTCCAGAGAAAAGCAACCATTTCCTAATTATTATTTTATAAGCCTGGTACAACTTATTTTTCTTAGAGACATGGTCTCATTTTGTCACTCAGGCTGAAGTGCAAATGGCAAGATCGTGGCTCACAGCAGCCTCGACATTCCAGACTCAAGCGATCCTCCCACCTCAGCTCCCTACTAGCTGGGATTGCAGGCATGCTTTACCACACTGGGCTAACTTAAAATTTTGAATAGAGATGGGATCTCCCTAGGTTATCCAGGCTGACTTCGAACTCCTGAAGTTAAATGATTCTCCCGCCTTGGCCTCCCAAATGCTAGGATTACCTGCATGAGCCATCATGCCTGGCCCATTTCTTTTTCTTAATTAATTAATTAATTAATGATTCTGCCTCCTGGGTTCAAGTGATTCTCCTGCCTCAGCCTCCTGAGTAGCTGGGATTACAGGTGCCCGCCACCATGCCTGGCTAATTTTTTGTATTTTTAGTAGAGACGGGGTTTCACCATGTTGGTCAGGCTGGTCTCAAACTCCTGACCTTATGATCTGCCTGCCTCGGCATCCCAAAGTGCTGGGATTACAGGTGTGAGCCACCGCGCCTGGCCTATTTTTTTTTTTTCAGAGGAAGTTTCGCTCTGGTTGTCCAGGCTGGAGTGCAGTGGTGCAATCTCGGCTCACTGCAACCTCTGCCTCCCAGGTTCAAGCGATTCTCCTGCCTTAGTCTGCTGAGTAGCTGGGACTACAGGTGCACACCACCAAGCCCGGCTAATTTTTGTATTTTTAGTAGCGACGGGGTTTCACCATGGGGGCCAGGTTCGTCTCCAACTGCTGACCTCAAGTGAGCCACCATCTCAGCCTCCCAAAGTGCTGGGATTACAGGCATGAGCCACCGTGCCTGGCCTATAGTTACTAAGGACATGAAATTATGCTTTATGAGGAAGTAGTCCTCACCCCCCTTGCCTGCAACACAAGAAAGGAGAGCAACGGAACAAAGTAGAAGAAAGGTGGCGCTGGGAAAAGGATATCAATTCAAGACTGATGGTAAAAATTGCTTAACAGGAGGGAGGGCCTCCTGTGGTTTCACCAGTTGATCTGGTTGAGGGATTTTCTCCAGCAACACTTGCAGCTTAGGGGCAGGAGGCTCCCACAACACCCTGTGCTACTACGACCCTTCTGACATTGTCCATCATGATGTGATTATTGCTATTTGTTTCTTGCCAACACTGAAACATGAGTTCCACATGCACAAGGACTTATTTGAATCCTTGACCCCAGGGCCTGGCACACAATCAATGATTGGTACATGTTTGCTAAATGAATGAGCAAATGGAAGAAATCTAAGAGGGTGGGGTGGGGATGGGTGGATTATCCAGAGTTGGACAGGCAAGGCAAGTAGAACAAAAGAGGGAGGTGCTGATATGAAAACTGCCTTGAGATGGCTGGCAACAGGCTAGACAAAGAGGCAAGGGATGTCAACTCATGCCTGGTGGTTCAGAAGCGTTGCTTCTCCTAAGGCCAACTCTTCTAACCTCTATCTTGGCTTCCATTTTCACCTGCCTTTGCAGGAAGCCTACAGTATTCATTGTCTCTTTCTCTTGAGTACTCATCCTTCTAGAGCTTACCTTTTGGCTTCTAAACATACTTACTTTCTCATATTTAAAATAAAGCTTTATTAACACCATTAACCTATGTATCTCCATTTCTTTCACAGCTATATTAATCGGTTTTCACACTAGTAGAAAAAATACCCAAGGCTGGGTAATATATAAAGAGGTTTAATTATTTTATTTTATTTTATTTATTTATTTATTTTAATGAGATGTAGACTCGCTCTTGTCACCCAGGCTGGAGTGCAATGGTGTAATCTCAGCTGACCACAACCTCCGCCTTCCAGGTTTAAGTGCTTCTGCTGCCTCATCCTCCTGAGTAGCTGGAATTAAAGGTGGGCATAAGCACACCCAGCTAATTTTTGTATTTTTAGTAGAGACGGGGTTTCGCCATGTTTGCCAGGCTGGTCTGGAACTCCTGACCTCAGGTGATCCACCGGCCTTGGCTTCCCAAAGCTGGGATTACAGGGGTGAGCCACTAAGCCCAGCCGAAGAGGTTTAATTGACTCACAGTTCCGCATGGCTGGGGGAACCTCAGGAAACTTACAATCATGGCAGAAGGGGAAGTGGACACATGCTACATGGCAGCAGACTAGAGGTGAAGTGCGAGCATAGGAAAAACTGCCTTGTTTAAAACTGTCGTATCTCGTGAGACTTACTATCACAAGATCAGCATGTGGGAGACTGCCCCCACAATCCAATCACCTCCCACCAAGCTCCTCCCTTGACACACAAGGATTACAATTTAAGATGAAATTTGGGTGCAGGAACAGAGCTCATATCAACAGCCATATAAGAAGTCTTCAAAAAGTCCATGGAAAATGTATATTATGAAGAAACTATGCATGGATTGCAAAATCTTTTGGCACCAAAATAAACTGGTAGTAACTCGTCAAAAAATATCTTGACAGGATCTAGTTTGAGGCATTAAAAAGGAGAAGGAATCAGTTTGAAAAGAGCCCCTATCAGTGAAAAATGAATTCTGCTAAAATTGAAGGAAGAACAAACATAAAATTTAAGATGAAGCTTGGGTGGAAGAATGGTGAAATCACTGATGATTTACCACAAGTTTATGAGGACAATGCCCCTAAAGAGATCAGCAGTTTGCAAATGGATAACTTGTAAGAAGGGACAAGACGATGTTGACGATGAAGCCTGCAGCAGCAGGCCATCCACATCAATATGCAAGAGAAAAAATTAGGCTGGGCGCAGTGGCTCACTACTGTAATCCCAGCACTTTGGGAGGCTGAGGTGGGCGGATCACAAGTTCAGGAGTTCAAGATCAGCCTGACCAACATAGCGAAACTCCATCTCTACTAAAAATACAAAAATTAATCAGGCTTGGTGGCATGTGCCTGTAGTCCCAGCTACTCGGGAGGCTGATGCAGGAGAATCGCTTGAACCCAGGAGGCGGAGGTTGTGGTGAGCTGAGATCATGCCACTGCACTCCAGCCTGGGCAACAGAGTGAGATTCCTTCTCAAAAAACAACAACAAAAAAATCCTCTTTGTGCTTTAACTGAAAAGCATCAGCCGGGCATGGCGGGTCACCCCTGTAATTCCAGCACTCTGGGAGGCCACGGTGGGCAGGTCACCTGAGGTCAGGAGTTTCAGACCAACCTAGCCCACATGGTGAAACCCTGTCTGTAATAAAAATACAAAAATTAACTGGGTGTGATGGCAGGTGTCTGTAATCCCAACTACTCGGGAGACTGAGGCAGGAGAATCATTGAACCCGGGAAGCAGAGGTTGCAGTGAGCCAAGATTGTGCCACTGGCCTCCAGCCTTCGTGACAGACTGAGACCAATGATTAACAGCAAAAACAACAGCCATCACCATAGACATCACAATTGGTTCAGCTTACAAAATTCTGACTGAAAAATTAAAAGTTGAGCAAACTTTCCACTCGATGGGTGCCAAAACCAGATCAGCTGCAGACAAGAACAGAGGTTGCAATGGAAATTTTAAACAAGTGACATTAGGTTGCTGCATATTAATTGCAGTTTATGCCATGGAATGTCAAAAGCCGCAATTATGTTTGCACCAACCAATAGATCATGAAGCATCTATTGGGAAAGTGTAATAGGAGGTGATATGTGGGTTTCCCAGTATAACACTGAAGACAAAGCACTATCAAAGCAATGACTCTGAAGAGGTGGAAGTAATCCAGTCAAAACAAAACTGGACTGGTCAAGAGCAAAGGTCATGGCAATAGTTTTTTGAGCTGCTTGAGCAACTTTCCTTATTGACTTTCTGGAGGGTCGAAGAATAATAACACCTGCTTTTTTTTTTTTTTTTTTTTTTTTTGAGACCAAGTCTCGCTCTGTCACCCAGGCTGGACTGCAGTGGCACAATCTCGGCTCACTGCAACCTCTGC